TTTTAAAGGTTTCGGAAACCCATTCGAAGGCTATTTTGCTGCCTTTCGTATATTAGAAAATAACCCCAAAAGCTCCCAGAATATATAAAAGAAACTTATGTCATGTAACAATAATAATATCCAATAAAGGATAAGAGTTGATGGTCATCTGACCACACCCAATTTTTATTTATTATTTTTTATTTAATTTTTTTTCTCCATTTAATTAATGACTGCTTTTATTAAATATTTATTCATGCTGTGTGTACATATTATCATAAATTGCATTAAAAATAATAAATTATAAAAATAATTACAAAAAAAAACGTACCCACATTTATTTAATCCAAAAAAAAAAAAAAAACAGAGGATATAAAATTTAATTAAAACGACAATGGACCAACAAAAAATACCTCCGGATATAAATTGCATTTATTTTTATTTAAATAAATATTTACGAGAGCAGACGAAAAAAAAAACTTTATAATATTATAATGGTTTTTATGGTTACACAAAAAAAAATATATATATATAAATAATTAAATAATATAGAGAATTATTTTCTGCTTCGATGGATTTTCGTGGGCAACCAAAAAAAAAACAATTATTTATTCAAGTGGAAAAAATTTCCAAATGTAATGGTGGGGGTGGTGGTGTTTTGGTGGTTGTGTTGTGTGAAAAAAACCGCAAAATAAATGTATATGAACTTGTATAATAAATTTTCAATACAAAAAAAAATATTTAAAAAAAAAAACTTGTTTCAGGCCACCAACTAATGAAATGAAATATTTATGGACAAAAATTGCATAATAAATGTTTTGTGTGATAAAAATCTGTTTGGTGGTTGAGTTATGCCCGGCAACACACAGACAATACCCATCACTGCCACTTTGGAAATTCCCATCGCCATCATAACGGTAAATTCAAATCAAAGTCCCGATAGTGCAATAAAATAATATAATACTAACAGCTATGTTAAAAACTAAAACCACAACAAATCCCGGAGAGGAAGAAAGAGAGTGGAGAGTAGGTTATTATTTCCAATAATAATTCTTTGCATTTCAGATATTTTCACTCAGCCCCATTGCCCACCTTTCCAGCTAGGCATTGCATTTTATATCCCAACCTCAATTTATTTGTTGCTTTTTTTTCAAAATTTAAAGCACATCCCGTGGGCCTGGGTATTAGTTAAATGCATGAAGCATACACCTAGGCGTTTGTGTCATAAACAGCAAACAAAACACAGATTTAGCCGCAGCTAGCTGACCGCAAACAAATTTAACGAAAGCAAAAAAAAAAACACAGACAAAGGATTTTTTCAAATGCCTTTTCGAAGGGACTAAAAAAATATTTAGAAAAAATCCAAGTTGGTCCTTCGAAAAATTTTCTCAAAAAAATCCAAGCTGGTCCTTTAGAAATTTTTCTTTAAAAATCCTCGTAGGTATTTTACTTTTTTATAATCCCTGTTGGTCCTTAGTTATTTTTCTTTAACAAAAATTCTTTAAAATTCGATTTTTGTCCTTTGTATTTTTTTTTTTTAATTTCCTTAAATCTATTTTTGTCTTTTGAAAATTTTTCTTTCAAAACATTAATTTAAAAATCCATTTTGGTCTTTTAAAAATTCTTATTTAAATCCACGTTGATCCTTTAAAAATTTTTATTTAAATACACGTTGATCCTTTGACATTTTTTCTTTAAATCCACGTTGATCCTTTGAAAATTTTTTCTTTTAAAAATCCAGGTTAGTCCCTTGAAATTTTTTGTTGAAAAAAATCCACGTTGATCCTTTAATAATTTTTTCGTTAAAAAATCCAGGAGTCCTTTGAAATTTTTTCTTAAAAAAATCCACGTTGATCCTTGAAAAAATCCACGTTGGTCCTTTGAAAAAATGAACTTGAAATCTTTTCTTGAAAAAAAAATCCACGATGGTCCTTTGAAAATTTTTTCCTGAAAAAATCCACGTTGGTCCTTTGAAAAAACTTCCTTGATATTTTTTCTTGAAAAAAAATCCACATTGGTCCTTTGAAAAAATTTCCTTGAAAATTTTTCTTGAAAAAAAATCCACGTTGGTCCTTTGAAAAAAATTTCCTGAAAAAAATCCATGTTGGTCCTTTGAAATGTTTTTGAAAATTTTTTCTTTAAAAAGTCCTCTGAAAATGTTTTCTTTAAAAAATCCACATTGGTTCTTTGAAAATATTTTCTTTAAAAAATCCATTTGGTCCTTTAAAAACCTGTTTCAAAAATCCACGTTGGTCCTTTGAAAAAAAAAAAACTGTTTAAAAAATCCACCTTGGTATTTTGAAAAATTTATTTAAAAAATCCACGTTGGTCCTTTGAAATATTTTCCTTAAAAAATCAATTTTAAAAAAAAAATCGACGTTGGTCCTTTGAAATATTTTCTTTAATATTTCCATTTAAAAAAAATCCACGTTGGTCTTTTGAAATATTTTCTTTAAAAATTCCATTTTTTTTTTAAAAAATTCACGTTGGCCCATTGAAATATTTTCTTTGACTCGCTCGATGGTGCTTTGAAAAAATTTCTTCCACTGATTTTTTTCCTTGATTTTTTTTTTAAATCAATTTTTTCTTTAAAAATACATGTGGCCCTTTAAAATTTTTCGTTAAAAGACCTAACTAAATATTTTCTTTGAAAATTCCATTTTTTTTTAAAATCCACGTTGGCTCTTTGAAATATGTTCTTTGAAAATTCTATTTTTTTTTAAAATCCACGTTGGCTCTTTGAAATATGTTCTTTGAAAATTCTATTTTTAAATAATCCACGTTGGCTCATTGAAATATTTTTCTTTGAAAATTCAATTGTGATAAAAAATCCACGTTGGCTCTTTGAAATATTTTCTTTGAAAATTATTTTTTTTTTTAATCCACGTTGGCTCTTTGAAATTTTATTTTTAAAAAATTCTATTTTTTTTTAAATCCACGTTGGCTCTTTGAAATATTTTCTTTGAAAATTCCATTTTTTTTAAAAATCTACGATGGCTCTTCGAAATATTTTCTTCAAAAAAAAAACCACGCTGGTCCTTTGAAATATTTTCGTTAAAGTTTTTAAAAAAAAATCCACGTTGGTTCTTTGAAATATTTTCTTTGAAAATTCCACTTTTTTAAAAAATCCACGCTGGTCCTTTGAAATATTTTCTTCGAAAATTCCACTTTTTTAAAAAATCCACGTTGGTCCTTTGAAATATTTTCTTTGAAAATTCCACTTTTTTAAAAAATCCACGCTGGTCCTTTGAAATATTTTCTTTGAAAATTCCACTTTTTTAAAAAATCCACGTTGGTCCTTTGAAATATTTTCTTTAAAAATTCCATTTTTTTTTAAATCCACGTTGATCCTTTGAAATATTATCTTTGAAAATTCCATATTTTTTAAATCCACGTTAAAAAATCTACGTTGGTCATTTGCAATATTTTCTTTAAAAATACAATTCATTTAAAAATCCACGTTAAAAATTCTTTTTTTTTAAATCCAAGTTGATCCTTTGAAATACTTTCTTTAAAAATTCCATTTTTTAAAAATAGACGTTGGCCCATTGAAATACTTTCTTTAAAAATTCCACGTTGGTCCTTTAAAATATTTTCTTTAAAAATTCCATTTTTTAATCCACGTTGGTCCTTTGCAATATTTATTTAAAAATTCAATTTAAAAAAAAATCCACCTTAAAAAATCTACATTGGTACTTTTAAATATTTTCTTTGAAAATTACATTTTTTTTAAATCCACGTTGGTCCTTTGAAATACTTTCTTTAAAAATTCCGTTTTTTTTAAATCCACGTAGGTTTTTTAAAATATTTTCTTCAAAATTCAATTTTTTAAAAAATCCACCTTGGTCTTTTGAAATATTTTTTTTAAAAATTCTATTTTTTTATAAAAATCCACGTTGATATTTAAAATTTCATTTAAAAAAATCCACTTTGGTTCTTTGAAATATTTTTTTTAAAAATTGCATTTAAAAAAAACCAAAATGGTCCTTTGACATTATTTTTTAAAAAAAAATCAATTTTCCATTCCATTTTTCTTAAAAAAATCCTCTAAATGTCATTTTAATAGTATTCTCAAAAAAAAAACAGGTAGATGGGTCTGAAGTTCCTTTGAAAAATATACATAAAATGTCCTCTGAAGGTCCATTGAAAAATATTCTTTAAAAAATCCTCTAAATGTCCTTTGAATAATATTTCAAGAAAAAGTCACGTTGATTCAATCTGAAGGTCCTTTGAGATATTCTCCTATGAAAACCATTCTTAAATAGTTCACGTTGATGGCTCGAAAAGTCCTTAGAATAATATGCTTAAAAAGATCCACGTTGGTGGATCTGAAAGTCCTTTGAAAAATATTTTTAAAAAATCTGGGCCTGAAGGTTAGTTGAAAAATATTCTTAAAAAAGCTCAAGTTGATGGCTTTGAAAAATATTTTTAAAAAATCCAGATTGATACCTGGCTTTGAAAAATATTCTCAAAAAATTCAAGTTAGTCCTTTCAAAAATATTCTAAAAAATCCATATTGTCGGCCAGAAGGTCCCTTGCAAAATATTCTTAAAAGTCTCCCGTTCTTGGTCCTGAAGATCCTTTGACAATTTTTCATAAAAAAACCGTGTTGATGAGTCTGAAGGTTCCTTTGACAATTTTTCTTACAAAAACCATGTTGATGGGTCTGAAGATTCTTTCAAAAATATTCTTAAAAATCTGTTTGCTGCTGAAGGTCCTTTGACATTTTTTCTTAAAAAAATCCGTGTTGGCTCTTTGAAAAATATTCTCAAAAAATTTTTGGTCCTTCAAAAAAAATACGGCACAAGAACCCACTTGGATTTTTAATGATTTTGTTTTTAATTTTTTTTTAATTTATTTTTAATTAAATTATTTGTAAATATATTTTTTAATTAATTTTTTAAAATATTTTTTTTTTTGGTCTCCTGGCTTAAAAAAAAAAATATTTTTTTTAAATAAATCTTTAAATATTTAATGAATAAAATCAAAATTAATTTTCCGATTTCTTTTTCTCGTTTCAGGCCCTCGATTACGACTGTGAAGTGCAGGAGCAACAGGACATACCCCAGGCCATTCAACTGCTGGGTGAAATGAACAGCAACGTCAAACAGGTCACCGATTTGGTGGAAGGCATGCTACAGCGTGTCAAACGTGGTGAACTTACAACAGAATATGGCCTCAGTTTCCTGGAAGTTAAATATCACATGCTGCTCGATTATCTGATCAATTTGACCTATGTTGTGCTGCGTAAATGTTCCGGCGAAACCATTGAAGGTGATCCCTCAATAGAACGTTTGATTGAAATACGTACAGTTTTGGAAAAAATACGACCAATCGATTACAAGCTGAGATATCAAATCGATAAGCTGGTGAAAACGGCCACAACGGGTGTGTCATCGACGACAGATCCAATTTTGTATAAGGTAAGGAGGCAGATCTTTTTTTAATTTTTTTTTTAAAAATCAAAATCTTTTTTTTTTAATTTCAGCCAAATCCTGAAAACATGTTAACTAATGCCAATGGCGATGATGAGGATGAAGACGATGAGGATGATGATGACAGTGCTTCCGAGTCCGAAGAAGATGCCGAGGATGATGTCAATGGCGTTAAGAAACCCAAAAAGGGTGCCACCGCAGGCAAACCTGGTATTTATGTGCCACCCAAAATCAAACCTGTCTACTATGATGGTGATGAGAAACCTGAGGACAAGGAGAAGAAATTGTTGGAAAGAGCCAAGAAACGGGCAATAACGTAAGATCGAATTCCGTTTATTGTTGTACCATAACTAATTGTTTTATTGCATTTTAGATCATCAATGATGGAGGACTTGAAGGAGGAATATTTGGATGCCCCCACGGAAATATCTTCTGGCTCTCGTGCCCAACAGATATTGTCCAGAGCCCAAAAGGAGAAACAAGAATACGAAGAAGCCTATCTGACACGTCTGCCGGTGACCAAAGCTGAAAAGCATCGCAACAGGAAACTGACAACATTGGGTATGAGCAAAAAAGGATCTTAAGCAAATACTTGTGAAAAAAAAAATTATTTGAGGAACTGATTTTTTAATTGAGGAGCTGATGGGTTCTAAAAATTTTTGTAAAAAAATCCACGTTTATAGGGCTGATAGGTAGTATAAAAATACTTGAAAAACGAAAAGGAAAAATATTAAAAAAATTACACTTAGGGAAAAATTACATCCACGCTAAGGGTGTTGATAGGTCCTATAAAAGAGATTATCTTAAAGAAATATTTGTAAAAAAGCCAAGTTTGGGAAGCTGATAGTCATATTAATATTTGTAAAAAGTTTAGGATTAAAAGACTGATAGGCAATAAAAAATATATTTAAAAATCCACATTTAAAGAACGTATACGTCCTGTAAAAATTTAAAAAAAAATAAGAAGGCGAAAGGTCTTACAAAAATATTTTTAAAAAATCGCACATAGGCATTGAAAAATTTTTTAAAAAAATCCTCGTTAACAGTGTTGATAGGTCCTATAAAAGAGATTATCTTAAAGAAATATTTATAATTTTGGCAATCTGATAGGTCCTATTAAAATTTGTTAAAAAAAATCAGGTTTAGAGGACTGATAAGTCCTAAAAAAGTATATTTGAAAAGTCCACATTTGAAGAGCTGATAGGCATTCTTAAAATATTAAAAAAAAAAACAAATTTCAGGAAGGCGAATGGTCTTACAACAATTTTTAATAAAATAAAATAAGGTTGCTAGGTCCTATAAAAATACTTCAAAGAAATCCTTGTTTGAAGCGCAGAAGATTAAAAATAATTTAAAAATCTGTGTTTAAGAAGCTGAAAGGTCCTTTTAAATATTCTTAAAAAATCGCCTCTAGTTGGCTGATAATTTCTATGGAAATATTTTTAAATAATCCAACTTTAAGAAGCTAAAAATACATTTTAAAAGTTCAGGTTTAGAGAGCTGCTAGATATTTAAAAAATTCCACGTTTTGGGAGCTGATAAGTCCTATAAAGGTATTTTTTGAAAAATCCACTTTCAAAGAACTGGTAGGTCCTATAAAAATATATTTTGAAAATGCATTTTTGTGGAGCTTATAGATATTAAAAAAAATCCACATTTTGGCAGCTGATAATTCCTATAAGGGTTCTTTTAAAAACCATCCAAAGGGTTTGAAAGTTTAGGCATAGGGAGCTGATGGTATTTAAAAAATTCCACGTTTTGGCAGCTGATAAATCCTATACAGGTATTTTTTTAAATCCACTTTCAAACAGCTGGTAGGTCCTATAAAAATATATTTTGAAAAATCAGGTTTGTGGAGCTGATAGATATTTAAAAAATCCACATTTTAGCAGCAGATAATTCCCATAAGTGTACTTTTAAAAAATCCATCCAAAGAGCTGATTGGTGCTATAAAAATATCTTTTGAAAGGTCAGGTTTAGGGAGCTGATAGATATTTAAAAAAATTTAGGTTTTGGCAGCTGATAAGACCTATAAAGGTATTTTTAAGAAATCCACATTCAAGGAGCTGGTAGTTCCTATAAAAATATCTTTGGAGAGTTCAGGATTAGGGAGCTGATAGGTATTTAAAAAATTCCACGTTTTGGTAGCTGATACGTTCTATAAATGTATTTAAAAATTCCTCGTTTTGGAAGTTGATAAGTTCTATAAAGGTATTTATAAAAACATCCACGTTTAGGGAGCTTTTAGGTTCTATAAAATTATCATTTGAAAGTTCAGATACAGGGAGCTGTTAGAAAATGTTTTTAAATATTTTAGGTGGCTGATAATTTCTATGAAAATATTTTTAAATAATCCAACTTTAAAGAGCTGGTAGGTCCTATGAAAATATCTTTTGAAAGTTCAGGTTTAGGAAGCTGATAGATATTTAAAAAACTTGGCAGCTAATAAGTCCTATAAAGGTATTTTAAAAAAATCTGCGTTTCAAGAAAAACACGTTTAGAGATTAAAAGATTTCAGGAAGTTGAATATTGAAAAAAATAAATAAATAAATAGTCCACGTTTTAGAAGTAGACATTTCCCATAAATATACTTTAAAAAAATCCACGTTTTGGAAGTTGATAACTCCTATAAAAATCCTTTTAAAAAATCCACTTTTTAGGAGCTGATATGTCCCATCCTTTTAAAATGACCACGTTTTAGAAACTGATATCTCCTATAAATGTCCTTAGAAAAAATCCACGTTTTAGAAACTGATATCTCCTATAAATGTCCTTAGAAAAAATCCACGTTTTATGAGCGGATATGTCCTATAAATATCCTTAGAAAAAATCCACGTTTTAGGAGCTGATATGTCCTATAAATGTCCTTAGAAAAAATCCACGTTTTATGAGCTGATATGTCCTATAAATATCCTTAGAAAAAATCCACGTTTTAGGAGCTGATATGTCCTATAAATATCCGTTTAAAAATCCATATCCATAAATCCATATTCACGTTTTGGAAGTTGATAACTCCTATAAAAATCCTTAAAAACATCCACGTTTTAGAAGCTGAGATGTCCTATAAATATCCTTGTTAAAAATCCACGTTTTAGAAGTTGATATGTCCTATTAATATCCTCTTAAAAATAACGTTTTAAAAGCTGATATGTCCTATAGATACCCTTTTGAATGCACGTCCTACAACAATCTTTTTAAAAAATACACATTTTGGAAACTAAAAGGTCCTTTAAAGCCCTTTTGAAAATAATCATGTTTAGGAAGATGATAGGTTCTTTAAAAATATTTTTTAAATAATCCAAGTTTAGGAAGATGATAGGCCTACCTTGGTCTTCAAAATTCACGTTAAAGGAGCTGATATTTCAAGGAATAAAATCCACATTTAAGGAGTTGATATGTCATGGAATTATTTCTCAAAAACCCCCAAGTTTAACGGGCCAATAGATCATGGAACAAATATCCTTAACAATCCAACTTTATGGAGCCTACAGATCATGAATTAAAATTCCTTAAAGAACCAAGTTTAAGAGATTAATAGGTCAAGTATTTAATTGTTTTACAATTTCACGTTTGTGGAACTGCTTGGTCATAGAACAAAACTGCTTAAAATTCATTTTTGAGGAGTTGATATGTCAAGTAATAAAATTTCTTACAAATCCACATTTAAGGTCCCAAGTTTAATGGGTTGATTTTGATCAAGTATGAAAATGCTTAACAATTCCACGTTTGTGAACCATGAATTAAAATGCTTTTAACATTTACTTCTAAGGTTGCAGAATAAAATGCATTAAAAATACAAATGTGAAGAGCTTACAGGTCGTGGTAAAACAACACAGTTCAAATCCATTTTAGAGGGCCAACATGTTTTGAAATAAAATGCTTTTAAAATCCAGGTTTAAGAATCTTATAGGTTATTAAATAAAATTCCTTAAAAATCTACTTTTGTGGAGCTGATAGGTCATGCATTAAATTTTCATAAAATATCTCTTTTAAGGTCTCTACAATTCCACTTCTAAGGACTTTTTTTGTCATGGAAGAAAATTGGGAATGGAATAAAATTCTTCTGATAGGTCATAAAATAAAATCCACCTCCAAAAAGGTTATAGGATCAAATGCTGTAAAGGACGGGTTTGAGGGGTTGATAGGCCAAGAAATAAAATGCATTACAAAGTCACTTGTGAGGAGCTGATAGGTCATAAAATAAAATTCCTTCAAAATCCACGTTTATAGGATTAATTTAATTAGGTTCAGATAGGTCATAGAATAAAAAGTTTTAAAAAATACGTTTGAGGAACTGATAGACTATAAAATTAAATTCCTTTGAAATTGATGATGAGATTCCGGGCCGAACTTTGAATATCCTAAACCATTTGGAACAAATTTGGAAGTTTCCAAAAAAATAAAATCCGTTAAAAATTCTGTTAAATTCTTTAAAATACCTAATATAGCCGTTATATTGGGGTCTAAACGAAGACGTGGACCTGCATAGACAACGTTTGTCATAAGCCATTAAAATTTTTAAATGAGAAACTTTAAAAAAATAATGTCGCTAAAAACATCAAAATACCGAATATTGGGAGGCACTTTTATAGGGAGGCTATATGAAGACATGGGCTTACATACGCAATTTGTTGTCATATATCCATTACAAATTCTAAATACGAAATTTGAAACAACTCCGGTAAATAATGTCCCTAAAATCGTCAAAATATGGAATATCAAGGGGTGTCGTTATATGAGGGCTATACGATATCGTGGACCGATATAACCCATCTTCGAACTTTGTCTGCCTGCAGACAAAAGATCGATATGTGCAAAATGTTAGCTTCTTATCTTTATTTTTGTTTTGACTCTAGCGTGATTAAAACAGACGGACGGACGGACATATTCAGTTCAACATCGATCAAAATTTTTAATAATTTTTTCTTTGATATTAAATTTTCTCCCTTTTAATTCCAGGCACCCTGGGCGATGAAATCCTCGGTGAAATAAGTCGTGATGCAGCTCTACGCGGTGATTCGCTTGGTGGCAAAAAACGAAAAGCCAAGGGCGGTAAAGGCAAAAAGAAAGGTGGCAAAAAACGTAAATTCCATTAAATAGCAGACAATTGAAAGGAAACAAAACAAAAAAAAAAAAAAACACAAAAACTGAAAACAAGAAATGGACCCGCAAATCAACAAAAAAATTAAAGATTATAGAATTATTCAAAAAAAAACTAAAAACAAGAACAATGTAATTAATTATAAAACAAAACACCCCTCTAACAGCAAGTAACAGATGAAAAAAATGAAGACGTCATTAAATTCACAAAAAAGTAAACAATTTTTTATAAATTACAAAAATTCCAGTTTTTACATGAGAAAGAAATATTGAAATAATTAATTGAAATAAGAATTGAAAATGAATTATTAATTATTAATTTAGAAAAGAAAAAATACAGCAATATAAGAAATGAAGTGAATGGAAACATAGAATGAAATATGTGAAAAAATAAAAAAAGAATTGAAAATTGTAACAACAACTATAAAAGGAAAAATAGTAAACATTATTTTTTATGTTTTAATTTTCAAATTAATAACAGGAAACGGATTTTTTTTTTTAATTTGGAGCATAATTTTAAAAATCCATTATTGTAATAAAATTATACAGAAAAACAAATTTCATTTTTAGTTGAAGTAATTTCTAACATAATCTTCCAATTTTTTTTTACTTAAAAATAAATAAATTAAAAATGAAATGAAAAGGTAAAATAAATTTGAAATTCTCTTTTATTTTGCCATTTCTTTTCCTTCATAAAAACCATGAGCAATAAATTCTATTTTTATATTTGAACATGCTTGTTATTTTATTTTTTTTTTACATGAAGTTTCGTTATTCTTTCATAAAATGTTTTCTTATTTTTTACAAAAAAAAAAAAAAAAAAAAATCAAAACTATATTTGTTCTTTTGAATTTTAATATTTTTTTTATTTTTCAACGTAAAATAAGTATATTTATAATCAAAACTGTTTTGTTCTCTTTGGGTTTCATTTTATTTTTTATTATTATATAAAAATATGTTTAATTAATTTTTTTAACGTAATATTAGTTAATGTTTCATAAATTGTTTTTACATAAAGTTATGTAATTTTTTTTGAAATATGAATTCAGTTCTTGTTTAATTTTAATTTTTACAATATATTAAAAAATATATATGTTTCATTTTAATATTGTGTTAAATATTTTTTTTTTTAATTTTCAATAAAGGTAAAATTAGTTAATTTTTCATAAATTGTTTTAATTTTTTTTGGAATATATATATTCGGTTTTTAATTTTTTTTCTTTGAATATGGATTTATTTTTTTAATGCTAAGAAAATCTATTTTAAATTTAAATATTAAATATTTTTGTTCTCTTTGAATTTCTGTTTAATTTTTAATATATGTATTAAAAAATGTATGTTTCATTTGTATATTTTTTTTTTCAACTATTTTTTTATTTCAATAAAGTACTTCAAAAAATAATCCTTTTCATTTATTTTGTTTCATTTTACTTCTATTTTTTTTTTTTGGTCCCATTTTTAGCAATATGATTCTACTTTTTAAAATTATATTTTTTCAGTAGATTTAAATTTTTTTATTTATATTTTTTTAATTCTTATTTTTTAATTCTTATATTTTATTGAATCTATAAAAATATATTATATCTATATTAAAGCCTTACAAGTAAATAAACATGTAAACTGCATTACAGTTTCGACAGCAAAATTTCAAGAAAAAAAATTAAAAATAATTATTAATTTTTTGGTATAAAAAATATTTTTTAACATTAGAACAGTGTTTGGCTTGCTTGTTTGGGATACCATAGTATTTTGTTGTTGCAAAATCGTCAGGCAAAATCCCATTATTGTTGTTTTTATAAAAACAACGTTTGTTTATTAGTGGAGAACGATGGTAATGTTTACCAGGGGGTAAGGCAGGGAATACCTAGGTTTCGGAAAGAGCCACCAATCCTCATCAGTTCCCTTGTTTCTTGTCTGGGATATTCTCCCCAGAAGTTATTTTAAAAAATAACTTCTATGACAAAAAACATTTTTTACCCAAGTGACGAGATCGTAAGCTCAATAGAAGAGGAACAAAAGAATTACATAAAACTAAAATTCTTTTGGAAAATCTTCTAAATCTTACAACCGCACTTATAAACATTTACATCTTTCTCCACTTGTTATGCTTTCGTTCAACCTGAACGAAGTAACATAACCATGTAAGTTTGTTTTGTCTGTTACAACAAAAACCCCTTCGTCGACCGTGCCTGTGTCTATTAATAGAACAGTGTTTGGCTTGCTTGTTTGGGATACCATAGTATTTTGTTGTTGCAAAATCGTCAGGCAAAATCCCATTATTGTTGTTTTTATAAAAACAACGTTTGTTTATTAGTGGAGAACGATGGTAATGTTTACCAGGGGGTAAGGCAGGGAATACCTAGGTTTCGGAAAGAGGGAGAAGGTATTCCCTGCCTTACCCCCTGGTAAACATTACCATCGTTCTCCACTAATAAACAAACGTTGTTTTTATAAAAACAACAATAATGGGATTTTGCCTGACGATTTTGCAACAACAAAATTTTTTAACATTTTTGAAATATAAATTGTTTAAACATATTTTTATGTAAAACAATAAAATCTTATTTTTACAGGATTTTCTTAAAAAATTGTTTTAAAAATATATTTTTTTGTTTAATTTTTTAATAACATTTTAGCAAATAATACTTATTAATACTAAATTAAAAAACAAATACTAAAAAAATAGAATTAGTGATGTTTTTTTGGTTTTAAAAAATATTTTGTTCACATTTTTTTAAATATAATTGTTTTAAAAGTTTTTTTTATGTAAAAATATAATTTTATTTTTACAGGATTTTCTTATTTATTTTTTTAAATATATTTATTTGTTTAATTGTTTTATTAATATTTTAAAACATAGTACTTGTATAATCCTAAATTAAAAAACAAATACTAAAAAACCCTAACTTAATTAAAAAATACTTATTGACTTTTTTGTTTTACAAAATATTTTTTCTATCATTTATAAAAACATAATTCTTCTTTTTACAGAATTTTCTTAATTTTTTAAATATATTTTCTATAATATATATTCTTTTATATGTTTTTTTTTTTTGTTTAATTTTTAATAATAATAATAATAATACATAATACGAATATAATGCTAAAAATATATATATAATTATTAATTTTTTTGGTTTTAAAAAATATTTTTTAATCATTTTTTAGATATATTTTATTCAAACCTACTTTTATGTAAAACATAATTCTTATTTTTACAGGATTTCATTAAGAAATTTTTAAAAATAATTTTATTTAAACATATTTTTACGTAAAACACAATTCTTATTTTTACAAATTTTTCTTAATTTGTTTAAAATATATTTTTTAAAATTTATATTTTTTTATAATTAAAAAACAAATACTAATTGAATTGAAGAATTAATAATATAATTATTTATTTATTATTATATATATTTTTTTGTTTTATAAAATATTTTTTCTAATTATTTTTTTATATATAATTTATTCAAACCTATTTAAAGTAACACATAATTCTTATTTTTATAAGATTTTATTAAAATATATATTTTTTCTGTCGATTTTTTTTTGGCTTTAAAAATAGTTTTTAATAATTTTTTTAGATATAATTTATTTAAACCTATTGTTATGTAAAACATAATTCTTACTTTTACCGGATTTTATTAACAAAAAAATATTTTTTTGGTTTAATTTTCTTTTTGAAATAACATATAATTTTTTGGTTATAAACACTAAAAATTACATAATTTTTTAACAAAAATATTGTTTTTTTTTTTGTTTATTTATTTATTTTTAAATAATATTTAATTTTTTGTTAACATATTTTTTCGAAGCCCACACTAAAAATGACATATTGTTTTGACTACAAAAAATATTTTTTTGGTTTAATTTATACATTTATTTATTTTATTTTATTTATTTATTTATTACTTTTTTTTAAATAATATTTAATTTTTTGTTACTATATTTTCACTAAAAATTACATAATTTTTTAACTAAAAAAATATATATTTTTTATTTATTTATTTTTATTTTTGAAATAATACTTAATTGTGTGTTAATATATTTTTTCACGGTAAACGATAATAATTACATAATTTTTTAACTAAAGAATTGTCGATTTTTTAAATAAAATAATAAGTTTGTCTGGTTACTTTTCCCGCAGTAATTGTCCAGCATCTTATTTCTGAGAGAGTAATTTAGTGTTGTTCTCCTTTGCAATAGAACTGTAAAAAAAAGTAAACAGAGAAAATTCTTGCAAAATCTTGCCAGCAATCAGCTGAAATGCAAAAACGAAACAATTTGCCCACCATAGAAAGAAATGAAGCAGGTTTAAAATGTACTTGTCCAAATAAATATAAATCACCAGATGGAGAAGAAGAAGAGTAGCAAGTGATTGCAAGAAAAAAATTGTTGAGCAAGAATTTGCAAACTCTTACTGATAAAGAACAGTTTACATGCTCTCTCTCTCTCTCGAATCGCCCTCTTGCAGAGTTTACAGTAAACATTAGCAACAATTCTTGCAAATGTAAGGGTAACCAGACACACCTCATATTTCTTTATTTGTAATTTTTTCTTAATTTTTTTTTTCTTTTTTTTAATTTACAAAAATGAAATTGAAATCCACCAGACTTGTAAATTATTAAACACATTTCGAAATAAAATCTAAAAAAGAATGTAAAAACTAAACCTTAAATATTATGTTGTTTTTAGGAGACAAAAATTATCAAAAAAAAAAAAATTAAAATTAATTCCAAAAATATTAATAATTTTGAAAAAAAATTTTGGCAGCAAAAAAAAAAACGATTAAAACAAACACGACATACAAAAATCAAACGCAGTTTACAAAACCCGACAAAAACAAAAACAAAATAAACCAAAAAATATGCAAAAAATATTTAAAATCAATAGAAGAAGAAGAAACCAAAGAACAGCTACAACAACAACAACAAGAAATAGAATACAAATTGAAAAGTTGAAAATAAAGCACAAAGTAAAATTTACAAAATTTATCACAAAACAAAAACCAAACAAATGAATGAAAGAAGAAAACGACAAACCTAAAGCAAAAGTGATCCACACAGACGACAAAAAGACGAACAAATTTTGAAATCATGAAACCAAACACACACTGATACACATTCATACATACACACTGACACAAGCAAACCAGTAACTATACAAAACAAAAAATGGAAATAAAATTGCAGTTGCCTTATTATACAAAAAATAAAAAATAAATAAATGAAATAAAATAAAATACAAACAAAACAAGTTTGAAACAGAAAACTTAAACAAGAAACTTTAACAAATAAAAAAAATATAGCAAAGAAAATGGAAAATATATCAACTTGAAACCACAAACCAAAAAAAAAGAAAAAAAACAATTTTTAATGAAAAGTGAAACAAAAATGAATACTAATATTTTTTAAACAAATAACCGAACCGTTATGCAAGGGCATGCGAGGCAGAAAGTGAAAAGTTTTTTGAGCTAAGGGGGGGAAACTTAATTATATACTTATATATAAAGGGTGAGATAAAAAAAACTGCAATAATTTTAACAGCTGTCGAACGAGTGACCTAGAAATAACAGCAGTCTGAAGTTGGTTGCAGTTTAAATTTCTCCGAAAAAATTCCCCTTAGACCCCAAAATTTTCCGTTTTGTGTCTCACAAAATCCCACGAAATAAATTCAATCAAAAAGAATATACTCAAAATTTCCCCACCCAAAATACTGAAGATAAAAAATAAATCCAAAATGAAAATGGAAACTGTTATATTTAGTTTTTATGACAAAAAATCAAAGAAATTAACTGAAATTTGTAAAAAAAATTAACCAAAACTAAAATTAATATTTATGTAATATTTTTAAAAAATAAATTTATGTATATGGGGAATATATTATGATATAACAAAAACAAAATTAACCTATTGTGGCAGAACATTTTTTTTTAATTTTTATATTTCAAATATCTTAAGGATTTTTAGTTCTTCCTACTTGTGGTTTTTATACTCGTATATTATTAAAGTAATATTAACAAACTCCTAAAAACAACTGAACATTTTTTTTAAATATAATGTAAGGTTATAAATTAAAAAAAATACTATTTCGAAAATAAAAACAAACAAAAATACAAAATTCCACAAAAATATATATATATTTAGAAATTATAAAAAAAATACTATTTCGAAAATGAAATGACAAAAATCTGAAACTGAAGACAATTTTTTGGATATTATGAAAAAAAAAAAACAAAAATTATTTGTCAAAACTAAATTTTTACAGTAAAGAGCAAAGACTTCAACATTAGAATTAATTACTTGCTAAACAGATGGTAGTTCTACAAAATTTTCTAAAAGAAACTTTCATGAAGATCCTAAAAAAATCCAAAAGATGATGCTGATTATAAGCTATTCAAAACAAAAATTAAAAAATATTCTACTGAACCTCCCATCCCAGAAAACTTGCAATGTTTGCAATTTTTTTAAATATACACATTTAGCAACATTGTCAATGAGGTCATTTTGGTTAAATCTCTCTCAAATCGTTCTCTTTTGCAAAACTTTTATGTTAACAGACTATTTCCAGTAGTAACTTGCAATTATTGTATCAATTGTTACAATTCAATTCACAATCAGACAGAGCTCATGAATAGTTAAGAAATCATTTGAAAGGTTGGCAACGCTAATTGATCTTTTTCTTACTTTGAGTACCCTATTTGCACCGTTGCAAATTTAAAGCGCTTTTTGCTCTTTTTCGTGTAAAAGTGAAGAAACTTGAATAAAACAATTTATAGCATTAAAATAAATTAAAATAAGTGATTTAAATAAACAAATTAACTATATTGGTATTAGAATACGTGTGTGATATGTTAATAAGTGTCTGTAGAGCAACAGACAAGTTTCAAAATAAGATCCTGTTCCATCCTGATCCATGCCCAATTTAAACAACGTTTGTCGGCCGCTTTTTTAAATCAATAGTTGGAACAAAATGCGGTAATAATTGAAAACGCTGTATGTATAAATTTTATATATTTAATTTATTGTGTATTAATTTTTATATATATAATATTTATGTATAAATTATTGTTTTTATATCCTCCCCAACTGGGAACAAGTTGAGTTTACGAAGTATTTTTTATACCCCACACCATATATTGGTAAGGGTATTATGTCTTTGTGCATTTGTTTGTAACATGGAGAAGGAAGCGAGATAGACCCATAGTTAATTTTGAGGAACTGCATAGAATCACTTTCTGAGTCGATTTATGCATGCCAATCCGTCCGTCCGCCGGTCCATTTATTCTTTTGAACAAAATTCAGGCCGCATTTATTATCCGATTGAGATGAAATTTTTTTAACAATATTTGGTTGGCCCAAGGGCGAACCCTATTGAAATTGGTGATAATCGGATTAGATTTAGATATAGCTCCCATATATCATCAACCGATTTCTGGTTAATTGTGCACCAAATGGCCAATATAAGTCCAAATGACCTGAACTTTGGCACATCGAACCGAATTCAGTCTAGAAGCTTGTACATCAAATTTGTTGAAAATCGGTTCAGATGTAGCTATAGCTCCCATATATATCTTCAACCGATTTCGGGTTAATTATGCACCAAATGGCCAATATCAGTCCCAATGGCCTGAATTTTGGTACATCCGACCAAATTCAGTCTAGAAGCAAGTACATCGAATTCGGAAAAATCGGTTTAAATATAGCTATAGCTCCCGTATATAGGTTTCATCCAATTTGGTGTTTAAGTCCCCACATTCGAAATATGCAATCCCGCAAAAGAATGATGTTTAGTATCAGAAATCAGATACAGCCCAGAAACACCACTGCCAAATTGTATCAAGATCGGTTCAGATTCGGATGTAGTTCCCATATATATCTTCAACCGATTGAGATAAAATGGCCAATATCAGTCCAAATGACCTGAATTTTGGCACATTCGACCGAATTCAGTGTAGAAGCGAGTACAGTGAAACCAAACTATAACTGCTATAAAGCTAAATGTTGATAGCTCGTATGATCTACTGCAAATAAATTCTTTTGTTACGGGAGCTGTACCAAATATGCATAGTGGCCCTGCCCGACTTTTGACTTTTTGCTACTGGTTTCGTTTGGGAATTACCCAGTTCTTCAATCCAAAATTACGGATACATCTTGTCCCTAAATAGTAAAGTGCAATAAATTAATATTTTTAAAACCAACACTTTTTGAAATGGAGCAATAGGTATCTATCAGAATTTTCGTCTATATATATAATTTATTATTTTAGACTATTTTTGATAAGCTAACACATGGTATCATGAACTAACATAACTAGTTAGTTCAAAGTTCTCGATTAGTACTTACCCCCTGAAACAGAATTTTCTAAACAGGTCGTCGATGTCGTATAACCCCCATACAACAGTGGCCCCCATTTTCGGCATTTTCATGATTTTAGCCACATGTATTAATGGAACTGTTTGAGATTTTACACAAGGAGTTTTCTTGGAGTACTTTACTCCCTGAAAAAGAATTGTCTATATAAGTCTTAGGCCCCATATATCAGTACCTCACTTTATTCGGTATTTTGACGATTGACGTATGATGGTACACGTAATGAGTACTACAGCCTATGACAACAATTTTTGTATGCAGGTCCACGTTTTCGTATGACCCCCATATAACTGTACCTCCCGATATTCGGTATTTTCATGAATTCAGCAACATTATTCACCGCAATCGTTTCAAATTTCGTATTTAAAGTTTTAAAGTTCCTCCCAAATGGTGGATGGTACAAAAAGTTCGGCCCGGCCTAACTTAGCCTCTTTTTACTTGTGTTTTTTTTTGTAATTCATGCTGAAAAGAACCTATAAAAATATTTTTGAAAATAATTTGCTATTTTTAAATAAACGTTTAGAGGGGTCTTAAAGAATTGCATTTCTTAAATATATGCTTAGATGGACCTCCAAAATATATATTTTTTAAGATCATGCTTGGTCCAAAACATATTTTTTAAAATCCACGCTTAGATCTTTAAAAAAAAATATCTTAAAATCCCCTATTTTATGAGGGGCTTTCAAAAAATTTTTTAAATGAAACTAGAAAAAAATTTAATTTTAAAAGAAAGTCTAGATAGATATAATCCACAATTATTGCAGACCTATTTCAAGAACTAACAGATTGAAAAAAAGAAGATTTTTGGAGTATATCCAATTTTTAAATTATTTATTAATTTTATAAGACTTTCTGTAAATTGGCTATCAGATTGGAAAAGGTGAATTTTTTGGAGTATTTTATCTTTTTAAAGTTTTTATGAATAAGACTTTCTGTATTTTTTTCGCTCATCTATAAAGGCTAGCTCCAGGTAGTCTATCGACACTCCTATGTTATTTGCTCTTTGCTGTAAAATTTCTATACACATTATTGATAAACAAAATTAGTACGGAAACTATTTCGAACGTCCAGACACAAACAAAAAAACAAATTTTGAAAACAAAAACTTACATTAAAAAAATTAAAATTTAAGATAAAATAAATTTTCGACAGTATTTTGTTTGAAAAGAAAATTGTAGAATTAATTATTACACAAAAGCAAAGGACTAAACTAATGAATTATAAATTCTGAAAAAATGATAATTTCTTTCTGTAAACTTGCTTTAAGCAAAAACAACAACAACAAAAACCAAGTAACTATAATAAATAAAAGAGAAGCAGAAGAATACCTAAGTCTAAGTAACAAAAAATAAAATAAAACCAAATATGACGAAAAAGAACATTTGGTATGGCAACGCAAACTTTTTGGCAACTACAACCACAACAAGCAACACCACCACCATCAACAACAACAACATAAATACAACCACAAAAATATATATCAAAATTTTGTGACAAAATTCGAAATTATTCAAAATTGTAAAAAACTAAAATACTTAACTTTTTGGCTTAAAAAAAATAATTTTTGGCATTTAGATTTAGGCATGGATGTTTTGGAACCCTTGACCCGAAACAAAAATCGTGTGATCTACGATAAACAGGAATTTATTCATAAACAATCAATTCTCTCATCCTAAATGGCGGGGAAATGAAAGTTATGAATAAAAACAACAAATCAAATAAAACATTTTTGGCTATAAATATTAAGAAAACTAAACTAACATCACCACAACAATAGTAACAACAGCAACAACCATAAACAGCAATAGTTTTCAAAATTTTACAGTGCAATAAACCAAAAATGGGAGGCGTAACTTTGGGATGAAGAAACAAATTAAGGGAGGGAAATAAAATATGAAAACTAATATTTTGGGCATTCTAAGATCCAATGCCATCTTTTTAATGCCTCCATAATTTTTCTTCTTCCCCAAATAGCCCCTCCCATTAAAAACCAAAAACCAACCAAAAATCTTTTTTGTTTAAATAACTTTTTATATTTTTTTCTGTTTTTAGTTATTTGTTGAATATATTAATTCGAATTTAGTAATTATTTTTAATATTTTTTTACTAGCAAAAAAATATATGTAAAAGTAATAAAAATATAACAAAAACAACCATAAATAATACTGAAAGACTGAATCTGTTATTTATTGTAAAATATATTTGCCAAAGAACTAATTATTTAAGTATTTATTTTTTATTTTAAAATTTATTTATTTTTTTTAATTTTATATAATTAGAAAAAAATTATTTTTAAGGGTCTCAAAGAATTGAGAAAGAAAGAAAGTCAAAAACAAATATTCTTCAATTTTTTTTTAAATCGCACTTAAATGAGCCTAGGGAAAAAACACTTTTTTTAAATCCCCTCTCTAAGGGACTTTTGTTTTTAAGAAATCCAAAAAAATTATTTTTTTTAAAAATTCCAAGTCTAGAAAAACATATGTTTTTAAAAAAATTCCCTTTTTGAGGGATATAGAAAAAATGTTATTTTGAAAATCCATGATGAAAAGGGTCTAGAAACCTACTTTAAAAAATTTCCAATTTGTGTAAATACATTTAAGATGGGCCTTAAATTTTTCTTCAATTTGCGCTTAGAAAAAATATTTAAAAAAATCAGATGGATCTTCAAAAAATGTATTTTTTTCAAATCCAAGCTTGGCTGGACTTTATTTCCAGATAGTTTTTAAAATGTTTTTATACCCTCCACACAATAGTATGAAGGGTATATTAAGTTCGTCATTTCGTTTGTAACTCATCAAAATAATAATTTTAGACCCAACAAAGTATATATATTCTTGAGCAGAGTAAAATTGTAAGACGATTTAGCCCTGTCCGTCCCTCCGTCTGTTGTAATCCCGCTAGAGTCAAAACGAATTAAGATAAGAAACTAAAATTTTCTGTCTTTTATCTACAGGCAGGCCGAGTTCGAAGATGGGCTATATTGGTCTAAGTTATCGGAAAGGTACCCCAAAAAAAAATTGCGGTATTTTGATGATTTTAGTTACATTTTTCAATGGAATTGTCTAAAAATCCATACTAAAAGTTCTAAGCTAGAAGAGAAATGTCTATATAGGTCCACGATATCGCATAGCCCACATACAACAGTACCCCCAGAAATTCGGTATTTTGATGATTTTAGCCACATAATTCACCGGATTTTTTTCAAATTTCGTATGCAAGTTTGGAAATGGGTATTTCAGCCTATGACAGAAAATGGTCCGTGCACGTCCAGACCTTCGTATAGCCCCCATATAACGGCACCTCCCCATATTCGGTATTTTGATGTTTTTGGCGACATTATTTATCGGAATTGTTTCAAATTTGGTATTTGAAGTTCGTAATGGATACTACAGCTTATGACAGAAAATTGTCTCTGCAGGTTCACGCCTTCGTATAGCTCCCATATAACGGTACCTCCCGATATTCGGTATTTTTATGATATTAGCGACATTATTAAACGGGACTGTTTCATATTTCGTATTTGAAGTTCGAAATTGTTACTTCAGCCAATGCTAACATTACTTATGCAGAACCACGTCTTCGTACAGCCCCCATATGACGGTTTTTATTTGAGCCGTATATTT